AGTAATGCTACGATGATTAACTACCTTTACCATATGATATGTCAACCTAATTAGCGTTTTATTGGACATATATATGAGTGGTAAGACCCATTATACATATTTTATTGATAAATAAAATTATAAGTCTGATTTGGTGTTAAAAGCTAGTAAGTGTAGCATTATTAAATTCATTTTAATGGAAATATAAGAAGACAAATTTATTTATAAAAGTACACAATGTACAATGCATTTATAGTTGCATTCATGTACCTTTTTGGTAAAATAAAAAAGAAAAAAACAAAAAACAAAAAACAAAAGAAATTATTGTATTTGTTTTGTAGCATGTTTGAGTTATTGTTAAGTTTTTGTTTGCAAAGTTGAGCTACTGACTGACCTGATGACCAACATCCCATATGACTTTGTCTTGAGGGGTGTCGAAAACATGGTGCAGAGCCACAGTTAACTCCACAACTCCTAAGCTAGCACTCAGATGCCCTCCTGTCTTTGATACACTGTGTACTATGTCTGCTCTAACCTCTGCTGCTAGTTGTTCAAGATCCTGCATCAACATCATATTCACCCAACCAAAATTAACCCAAAATAAACAGGTCAAATGCATGTTGTGCCGAGACTCTCTAGAAAATTCAATCACACTAAAGTTGAAGGTACGTGGTTATGCAAATTGATAACAATAGTTTGAAAAAACAAAAGACAATCACCCAACGTATCAAAGAATTACGTGATTCGACTGAACCTATATCCACCGACAATCTCACAAGTAATACTCTTCATTATCAAACAAAACAAGCGTTCAGAGAGTTATAAAGATGTATATCAGTCAATAAATAAGTTACTTGTCTATGGTATATCAAATTGAGAAATCAAACTTGCATTTAAAATTCACTCTACAATTTTAACCGAAGATCTCATGAAAACATATTAGTGGTTATATCTTCAATTTATCAAATTTCTGGACATTATTTGTTCCTTGCGCCGTACTTAATTGATTTCTTACCGGCAAAGTTAAAACCAAGGTTTTAAAAAACAGTCACAACCAGTGGCGGAGTCAGAAATTCAGTGAAGAGATGACACAAATTATTCATAATATTAATTTTATTTTTTTTCTCATAATAAACAATAATGAGATATTACTAAACGTAAATATTAACAGTTTATTTGGATAGATATGAATTTTAAATTAAAGGATTTTAGGTTAAATTTTATACAAATATTGTGAAGTAACTATTTAGGTGGATTGAAAAATTAAAAAAGAAGATAAGTTGAGATAGAAATGATATATTTTAGTAGAGAAATTCTATAAAACACAACATAAAAAAAAAATGTCTATCATTATCGCAGTTATAATCTTTGTGACATTTAGTTATCACACATTATAGTGTTGGATATAACTTAGTTATAACTTCTTTTGGTTGTTATTTTGGTTATGATCGAAGAGGTCTTTGATTGTGCATCAAGTAATGATTCGTAATGATTCATTCTGATATTAGTTATGACTTATTGTAATTTTTTTTTTTTTAGTTATAATTGAAGATATGTTGTTTGATCAGAATTTATATAATAGTCATTTTAGTTATGAATGAAAATAATTTGGTTATGAAAATTTATAATATCAATACCATAAAGTAATAACTAGTATATGGTACACCCTTTTTGGAGGTTTATAATAGAAGGACTTATTTTAGTAGGTTCATTGTAACTAGAAAGAAAATTTATAATAGAGGGACTATCATAATTTGAAGAAGGGATATTATTATAATTTTATAGAAGATATATATGATATAATTTATATATATAGGCGTACCAATATAATTATCAAAACTTGAGGGGCCCACGTGCCCCCTGCCTCTGCCCCTGGCTGCAACTGTTACATAACGTTGTTACGTAATGGTTGTAGTGGTCACCGCCACCCGTTACGGCCGTTATAGCGGTGTGATAGAAATTCACATGTGTAACGACTGTTTCGGTATTACGTAACGGCTGTAGCAGTACCGTGACAGTCGTGATGGTCAGTTAGGCACCGTTATACCATTTTACAATATTCTAAATAGGTTCATTTTTCTCAAAAAAAAATAAAAGTTTACAAAAAAAAAGGACAAATACTCAAGTGATGCAAGCTTAAAGAAAAAAATCTTATATGAATTTTTTTTTCTTTATAATTTTTTTTTTAAAAATTCATTGCACAAATTTTATTTTATAATCGTTTCATTTAATAATTATGAATATTTTTTATTCAGTTAGTTCAAGTGTTGGTAAAAAATAATTTGTAAACATTTAAAATCAATTAGTCTTAAAATCATTAACTATTTAAATAAAATACAAAAAACACTTTTTATAGTGACTTGAAAATATAAAATATTTTAGATCATACTTAAAAATTAACAAAAATTAATCAAAATTTATTTTAAACTCCAATAAATATGATTCTGAAAGAAAAAATATACGTATCGGCAAATTTTTTTCAAATTATGTAAAAAATAATAAAAAAAATTACAATTTCAATTATCACAATCGTTATACTACGACCTTTACACCTCACAACTACTACCGCATCAACACAATTGTTCCGACGACTATAACGGCTTTTTAAAACCTTAGTTAAAACTATTAAAGGCTAATAATAACCACACATAAGTCAATCATCCTATAACTTTACTAACCAATTAAGATCCTATCACCTTGGGAAAAAATATATATATATAATAATAATAATAATAATAATAATAATAATAATAATAAAATAGGTTCCACACCTTATCAAATGCACTTCATAAATGAGCAACGTGCCTCAGCCTCATAACCGACGTTGGACCAAACAATTGAGCCAAACCAACCATGAATTATTGATAGATATTCCAATTAATATATTAACATATTTTATATTATTATTATTGGTTCTATTTATTATATAGATTATAAATATTTAAAATTTTTAAAATTATATTGCATTATCTGTTAGTACACTAATTGGTATACCAATTAGTGCATATAATATTATTCTTTTGCTAACGGTGGTGCTACATGCATCAATTGGTATACCAATTAATATACCAACATAACTTATGTCATTATTACTGACCTTACTCATTATACATATTACAAACAAAAATACTAGAGATCTCAAAAATTCTACCAAATATCTCACATACTCACATTGTATGAGTCTCACACCCATGTAAGACTTTTAGTAGAACTTTGAGATCTCTAGCATTTCTCATTACAAATATCCAAAACCTCTAAAATTATGTCACATCATCTATTAGTATACTAATTGGTATACCAATTGGTAGATATAGTATTATTCTTTTGCTAACAGTGGTGCTACATACACTAATTAATATACCAGCCAATATACCAACATACCTTATATCATTATTACTGACCCCACTTATTATACAAATTATAAATATCTAAATCCTTTAAAATTATGTCACATTTCTCGAGAATGTATTAAATGAGTATTAATTTATTCCACTATTATAGGAAGTAAAAAAAAAATACTAAATGTTTATTATTAAAAAATGCTTGTTTTATAGTAGACTAAAATATCTTTTGACATTTTTCTACTTTTTTTTTTTTTCTTCTAGACTTTTTCATTCTTCGCACTTGTTATGAGTTATTTTTTTGACATTTCATATTATTATTTCACAAATTAATGAAATGCAACAATAAATTTCTTTATTGACATAGACAATGCAATAGTTCCAGATGATAAGACTCCGTAATAGGTTCATTTGGTGAAATTTATAAATAAAAAAATTAATTTTTTGTACGGATTATTAGCTTAAAAATTTTATAAATAAATTGAAAATTTATTTCCTGCAACTTTAATAATATGTAAAAATATGTTAAACTTGTTTGGTTAAATAAATCGTCACATAATTTTTCATTATATAAATATTGAAAAAGTCTTTGTACATATGATTTAATAAGTTAATTAAAAAAATGTTAAAAAAATTAAAATGTCAATTGAAAAGTAGATAAAAAATGAAAAAAAAAATTTAAGGTCCCTCATATTAAGATTTTATAAGATAAATAAAATATAATATTTTTATAGTAGTTGGGATCTCTTAATATTTTCATAGAGAAATTTTAATTTTCATAGAGAAATTTCTTTGATATGATTATAGAGAAATTTCATCGAAAGACTTTAGCTAGTAAAATAAAAATAAATAAAAAATAAAAAACATGTTAAACCTCTTCTACTACTCAAAATTGAAAAGGGATATTTCAATAATTTTCCCATAAAAAATGTAAAGAAATGTTAAAAAGAGTATTGTGGTCTAACTATAAAACAAGCATTCTTTAATAGCATACATTTAAATTTTTTTTTTTTTTTTTTTAGAGGGGGTATCGCATGCACCAATTTAGCCTGTTACCAACCACTAGTTTAATGATCTCAATGATTACTACTCATTATATAAATTACAAATATCAAAAATATCTTAAATTATGTCACGTCATCAATTAATACATTAGTTAGTGCATTAATTGATATATATGGGATTACTCTTTTTTTTACCTTCTATAATAGTAAAGTGAATACTCATTTAATACATTCTTCTTGTAAAAAAAAAAAATGTAATACATTCTTCACCAATGCTCTTACACCAATGCTCTTAGGCTATTTGTTAACAAAACTCTTTAATTAATTTTAATTTTGTACCGGAAACAAATTTTAGGAAATGGTTATTTTAATTGTCATTTTGACTTTTTTTAAAAAAATGTATAAAAATATACAGATAGTGATGTGATTCAACATTTTGGTTTTTAAATATTTTAGCCAAAAAACTAACACCTCAAAGTAGCCTCTCTCTCTCTCTCTCTCTCTCTCTCCCTCCCTCTCTCTCTCTCTATATATATATATATATATTTACATTTCTTTACATAAAAAGTAAAAAAAAAATAAAACTAAAATAGTCTCATCCCAAAATTAATGTTTCTGGTACAAAATTAAATTAAGTAAAAAGTTTTAAAAAATAACTAAAATAGTCTCATCCCAAAATTAATGTTTCTGGTTTAATGTTGCTGGTACAAAATTAAATTAATTAAAATATTAGAATTCAAAATGGCAAAAAATAATGTAAGGGTAAATTATACTTTGGTTCTTTATGTTTAGTTATTTTCTCATTTTAACCTTTAAAAATTGTTTTTCATGTTTTGACCTTTTCTATTTCAATTTTTTTTTCAATTTACTCTTAAAGTTTTTTTTTTTCAAAATTAAATAAATAATGACACGCTAACGGCTACATAACATAAAAATTATATTTTTATATTAGAGTTTAGGTTTGTGAGTTATATATAATAAAATATTTTAAAATCACGTGGCTGTTAATATGTTATTTTTTTTATCTAATTTTGAACATAAAATTAACTTTGGAATAAATTGGGTAAAACTTGAAATATAAAAAGCTAAAGTAAAATATATATATATATATATATAAAATAAAATTTTAAAAATCAAAATAAAAAAAAAAATAGTGAAAAGTATAATTTAGCCAAAATAGGCTTACTTTAGCTTATATGGAAAAGTATAATCTTATCCGGCATCGGATTGATAATATTAGCCTATATGTTTTCACCTGAACAGAAAGATTCTTCATATGAAGTGGATAGTTGATTGAATCCAGCAATGGCGTCGGTGGCTTTTCTCCTGAGAAATCAATCTTCCAACCCTCTTTCTCTTTCTTTATCTTCATTTTCCCTTCTTCGCCATTAGCTTCTGAACCAGTGGCCAAAGCTCGCAAGTAGAGCTGAAAAACCCAAAACAACCACCAATACAATACACCATTTGATACTTAATAACTACATCATTAGAAATACCAAAATCATAATCTTTATACAACCCATAACAAGAACAGTTACAAAAACTAGATAGATAGATATAGTGAATTGCATTTGAAACTCAAAATGAAAATTTTATATATGCATTGACACTGACCTGTTTTCTGCAACTATGACTTCGTCTTGGAGTGGCCACGGCCGGGGATGGAGATGGTGATGGGTGTAGTAGAGATAGACTAATGACAGACCCGGCTGAGACCGCCATGGCTGATCAAGTATGGTGATTGAAGAAATGAAGAAATGAGGAGAAGAGAGAGAGAGAGAGAGAGAGAGAGAGAAGAGAAGCCTGTGAGGACTGTTGAGAGACACAGGGAACAGCGACAAAATTTATAATTGGTGGGGATGCAGCGCCTTACGTACGTTAATGCTGCCTCGGTGTCAAAATATTAATTTTTTTGAGAAAATTAATTTTTTTGGTAATATAATTATTACACTTCATAAATATTAATTTTTCAAAATTATCATTTGGTAGTATAATTATTACATTTCAAAAATATTAGGATACTTCTATTTACGCATCACTAATCCTCTCAATATACACAATTACTTACTACACACACATAATAATTTTTAGTGCTTTAAAATATCTTAGTTTACACCTTAATTTTTCATTACTAGTCTTACGATGACACACCACCTGCTTGTTTAAATACACACCACAACCTATACCCCAATATCTCCGTTTTCATAATATCGGAGACTTTCATCTTCAAAATACCGTAGATTTTCATTGTCGGTGTTGAAGATCACCATCCCTGACAGAGGGTTTTGTTCAGCCGATGCATTCTCGTCATTTTGAAAATTATATTCTCGCCCTTGTGATTAATAGTCTCATTTCACAAACTTCTTTGCTTATATAAAAGGTAAGAACTCTTAGTAGAAAAATAGAGGAGATTACATTAGAAAAAGAAAGTAAAGCAAAGGTAAGGGAAGAAAGAAAAAAAAGAAAAAATAGAGGAAGTAAAGCAAAGCAAGAAAAGAGAGAGTGCATAAGTTTAATATTTTCATTTCGTCTGAACAATTACAATGAAAGGGGGGTTAGTGTAATCTCTCAAACGTCTGGGGGTGATATGTATTAAACGCAAACCTCAAGGGGTGTAAGTGTAATTTATCATAATACTTAACCCATTTGAATTAGAATCTATATAGTAAGAGAAAATCATGGAAAAT